CTTTAAATTGATTTTATATTTTATACATTCCTTCAACTTCATCATTACAGAGGTCAGAAAGAAGCAATGCTGTAGTTTGAACATAAATCTTTTACATAAGAGTCTCTGAAACTCATATGCTTCTTGTTACTAAACAGATGAACCTGCAGAAAGTTTCTAGTTACTATTCTGACAGTTCACTTAGAAAACATGAAAAAAAAAACAGTAATTTTCTTGTGACAAATAGTGTGATACTACAAATTTCTCAGTAGATGTAGAGAAGTATTGCCCTAACACAGCTGCCATCTACACCATTCAGAACAAGGCAGTCAGTGATAAACATCATGAACTATAAGATCGTCCTTGTACGAACAAGAAGGCTAAAGTTTCTTTCCTCAGCAGGCTCTGTAGCATCCTCTCACAGTGTACACAGAAGCTACAAATATCAAACATAAGAGGAAGCAACTAAAAAACCCATATTCCCCCAAATTTTTCTCTTCTTATACTTACAAGTAACACTTTGTTTTACTAACAATAACAGGTGGAAAAGCAAAGTTAATTTTGCCACTTTCAATTTTGCTTACTTTGCTCAGGCAAGCATAAACTTCGTTTCTGGATTAACAGTAAGAATCAAATCTTGGTCATAGACACATGGGGCATGGCCATATCATGGCATATCATCCATGCCACCAGGGAAGGGGTTTTTGGCATTTCCATCCTGTGTCCCTTTGAGAGGTGGCCACAGGAGAGTTTTTCAGCCCATGCCCAAACAATTCAGAGTTTGAGGTCTTTCACAGTGATGGAGAGAAAGATGTCCAATTCCCTTCCACAGCTGTAATGGTAGTATCTAAACAGAAAAGAAGTGCTAAGGACTACCGTTGGTAACTTCTTCAAAAGCATGAAGCGGGCTTGCTACTTAGATCCCACTCACCATGATTTCACAGTGAGATCTGAAGAATGTGAGCTCCTTACCCACTTGCAACTATTCTGGAAGGAATACAATGCAGTGGCAATGTGAAGTTGTATCTTCTCTTCTGTAGTACCTTGGTGCTAGCAATGGAAACATCATCCAAAAAAAAAAAAAATAAGGAAAAATAAAATTAAAAAAAAAAAAAAAAGGGAAAAATAAAATAAAAGGAAAAAGAAAAAAAAAAAAAAAAGGCATGGCCCTTCCATGGTGACAGGGAAAGAAAAGAGAAAAATTTTGTCCCCTTTGTCCCACCTTCTGTGTCCTCTCCACCCTAAAAAGAAATAACATAGTCCTGCCAACCCTTTGCGAGGAAGGTCAAGAGCAGTCCTGGACAACAGTAGGGTCTTGGACTCTTTTACAAGGAGTTATACAAATAGGAGCAGTACCTGCAAGAGTGGAAGGCAAACCAACTCCAGCACAGCAGGAACTTTTCTTGAAGTCCTCAGGAAACCGAGAGAAGAGCTAATCATGCAAGAAGCAGACACCTCTTTCTGTGTGTCTGCACACAGTATGGTCATTGATCCTGTGCTCTCACTTAGCCCATAAAAAACTATGTCTGTGAAAATTCAGCACATCTTCCAAATAAACTAAGTACAGTGTGTAAGAGTAACATGTTACGGTGCCTATCAGAGCTGCTCTTTTAGATTGGTAAAACAGAAGAACATTAATTTACAACACTCAGTATTAATGCAATATTATGTGGAGCCATATAACACATATATGGCACACAATTTAATTCATACCATATCTTGTATACCATTTGTATATACATATAGAAGTATTTATGCAACTTAAAAGCCTGTGCATATTAATTACTTGACAATTATAGTCTCCTTCTCTAATGTCATAGGTTAAGAGACAGGGGAATATTGCTATATGGTTTTCAGAACTCCATTGTAAAGAGAATAAAATCGTCAGATCTGACTGGAACACAGGAGACACTGTACTGACATCTAGCTATCACAACCCTCTCTGGTTTGCGTTAGCTGTATCACAACCCTTTAGTTGAAATTTAAACCACGTCAGTGCAAGTGAACAAAATATGGCATCAGATCTCCTTTCAGCTCCAATTCTTTCTCCAATTCATTAGAAAGAAAAGAAATGCAGGAAAGGATGTATGATGCTGAAATATCAGTTTCAACTGTAGAGTTCACTTTGTAAAAAAAGGACCACATCATACAAATTCTGGGCATTCATACAATTTCTCAGTCACACATTTATCAACAGTAAGCAGAAAATAAAGGGAACATCAAAGGAGAAGCCCTTCCCCATAAAATAAGAGCTAGCCAGATTAGATTAAAGCCTATTTGAAGTGACCATTACATATGCACCTGGTACATGTAAGACCCCACACATTTTCTGCATTTCACAGTACTAACAGCCACATGGCAACAACTCCTAACAACAAAAAAACAGGAAAAGACCAACAGAAATTTCAAAATTTTAAACAAGTCAACAGTATTTTTAAATCATCAGGTGATAAAACCGCAGTTCTGTTCTTAGAAAGTTATGTAATCTCCAGCTCAATTCTCTCCTTAAGAAAATAAAGAAACTGTAACATCAGAGATATCTAGTCTATCACTTAGCATAATTGCTTATTCTCTATTCTGCAATGTCTTAACAGAGACTCTGACCTAAAAACTTGGCCAGTGCACAGCACAGATGAGTTTGTTTTAAAGCATTTCTATTTCTTTTAAAGAAATAGTTAATGAAATTATTGTTCCATTATACTTTAGTCCCAAAATTCTAGCAGTATTTCTCAACTTTTTATTGGTTGAATCTTTCTCATCTTTTAACTTTTTTTTAATCTTCTTTTTTAATCTTTTAACATTTTATTTTTTTTAAGTATTTTTAAGTTGTCATTTTCTTAAACAATAGATGATATTGCAACATTACAAATCCCTCCAATAAGATAACCTAATGTATCTTTGTTTAGCTATATTAATGATCACATAATATGACAGCAAGGTATAGACCAATGTCTAAAAGGAATAGAAAAATACAAGCAATTAATCCATTATTGAAAAGACCTTTGCTTTGTTCTCCAGCCAAGACGGTACACTAGTCTTGTAAAAAATATGATTAAGAATCTGTCTTTGAAAACACTATTTATCGACTATTAATAAATATTAAGATTTCTTGATACATCATTTTTACTCTGTTCCTTTTAAGACTGCATCCTGTTGTCCAGGCTGGTTTCACTGAGAGTAACTCGCACCAAAAAATTATCTTTGTGCATCTGCATATGACACTCCATAGATTCTAGCAACACCACGAAGTCCTCCTCACCCTAGCCAGCAAAGGCTTCTATGTTGTTACATGTTATTTAAAATTAAAAAAGAATCATCCTAAGTAGAATACAGCAGTTTTGGAAAACTGACTCTAAAAATTCCCTTAAAAACTGTACTGGGACATCAGCCAACTCTGAAGTAAACTCCATGCTCCTCCTTACACACATAGAAGATGATAAAAGAGGGAACCTTTAGTTTAACATAACATGATTACAGAAACTATACCTTTCTCTCACAAGTACAGGAGTAACAATGGACTTTCTGGCGTTTGATTGCCTTTTTGCAAATTGATGCCCAATGAGGGTAACCAAAACAATCATTCACTGCTTGACCACAGGAGGTTGGACATTCCATTATCTGAAGTAGAAAAAGTATACCAAAATCTAAAAATCTACATTCTCTAAACACATAATTTACTTTTAAAATAGGTGGTTTACTATGACTGTTGAAACATCCAACATATGGGCCCACTTCCCAACTAATTATTTGCTGGCTAAAGTGTTAAAATGTCCTTGGCTTCACCTTAGACTCAATCATCCCAGCTGGTCATTATCTACCTGGAAACGGGCCAAAGAATCTCAGCTGTCAGTACTCCACAAACATGTATGTTTTGTCCCTTTTTTTTTTTTTTTTTTTTTCATTTATGAGCTACATTTAAAAGAAGGAAGTCTTGTTGCTCATGGAAGTGGAAATATTTTGCATCTCTCTTAATGTTGTAATTTAGTATACTGGAAGTAGAGGTGGTAAGTGGACTGATAAGGAACGCTTCGACATGAATTTACTGAGAACTGATTTATCCAACCTTACTGACACTGTTTTTATTATTGCCTGTTCCTAATTGATTCAGCTGCTCCTTTGTTTTACACAGATGTGTGAAAAAGCACAGAAGTCTTCAAAAGTCAGAGTTGGAACAAAGTTATTGACTGGTGATGTATCTGCACAGAGTCAGGAAGATTCAATAGGAAAATATCCCTCAATCAAGTGAATGTTAACAATCAGCTTGTAGTAAACTTGCAGGTCAACAGGTGGAAAGCAAATGGCTATTCTCATTTGTACATTATTTCTGCAAGAAGCCACAGGACAGCTGGGAGAGGGAACACATGTAAACAAGGTAGACCTAATGATTTCTAATTAAAAAGAAGATATTATCTTCCCATTAATAGGTAAACTAATTGACCAAAATCCAACAGTTTCACCTCAGTACAAGTAAACATAGGTGCTTTTCCTCACTGAATTTAGGCCAGGCACTAAGTTGTCAGTTCTGCTTGATTTGTTTGGATACTGTACTCTGTGACAGCTGTCAGAAATAATGCATTAGACCAGCTGTTGTGGCAGTTCAGTTGCAAAGAGTCTGTAATTTTAATAGGACTGGATATTAATTGAGGGTGGTGTCTTTTTTTATAAAAATAAATAAATAAATAAATAAATATTTAAAGAATGACAGATACCTTTAAGGAATTTGACCAATGGCTGGTAAGCAAGGTTGGGTTTTGTTTTGACTATGTAACTTTGAGGCAATGATCTTCACCATCTGAGTAGTATCCACTAGTTGCTTAAGAAAAGGGGCTTTAAGAAGAAAAATAGTAAAGAAGTTGCATAAATAGTCCTTTTCAAATAGTCACTGTGACCCACAGAGGACCTTGGAGTGTTTTAAGAATTAATCAAAAGGAGACTCATTCTGAGACCCCTAGTAACCACCAGCTGAAAACAAAACAGTTCATCATGCCCAGGACCTAAGTGCAAATGAATAATAAGCTTACTTTCAGCATCAGCATAGAGTAGCAAGCACAGGAGCACCACCATTGGCCTGACTACATGCATCATCCGACAGCTTGGCACCAGCATGCTTTGGCAGCCTTCTTCTCACTGGCTTAGAGGCCACTGCGAGTCTGTGCGGTCTGAAATTTCAGATGAAGTATTTTCAGAGCCTGTGGAACAAATAAGAAAAAGAGAAAAATACAGTTAGCAATAATAAGGCAGAGATTTTCTGTTTTTTTCACAATTTGAGGCAAAACGGTTTTAAAAGACAAAAGGGTAAAGGAGAAAGAAAAGGAAACATGATTCATTTCAGTCTACTGGCATATACCTGAAGTTTCAAGGTATGGTACTTTAGTACTGTTGCAACATATTTCTCAATGCAGCTTTTCTACCATAATCAAGCATCTGTCGCACTCTGGATCTTTTGTTGTATTCAACAGCACCTTCTGAATCACAAGAACTGTCATTGTTAATGAAGTGTAATACATCATTGGAATATTCATGTTGCAAGACAGGAATCAAAGTGGATTCAATATCCAGAATAAAAAGTCCACTTGCAAGCAGCATACTGGGACCTGATGCCCTGTCATCTGGCAAGAATAACACAGCAAAATCTGTTGCATGAGATGTTCTTAAAGCTAGACATCATATGCTAACATATTCCATAGTTCAACAACTCTCAAAGGTTAAAATTCCCATTGTGACTTTCCTTTTGTGATTTTTGCTGTTATGCCTAACAGAAATCCAGCATTAAATAAAGGGCTAAGATTCCAGTTCAACCCACCTCACTTACTATGATGTGTAATTGAATATGATACACTGGGAGCACTGCAGCTCTAGTACCTGACTTTAAAAAGCAGTGCTTCATTCATGTCCAAATTTATCACAACTGAGCAGTAACAAAAATTAAGGAATAGAAAAATATTTTTCCCTCTCACCAGAAATACTAGAGGTATTTCCAAATAGCCTAACATTGTCATTAAAGTAACACTGAAGTGCAATTTTACTTTTCGAAGGGTCTGTAACATATAAACTTTGGGAAGTTTGATACTGTCTTTTTCATCACCACACACAAGTGATTTCCATGCAGTGAAGATAAAAACCAAAAGGGTGAAGAAAAAAGTATACTAATTACCATTCCACTAGATAGATTTTAGAGAATTGTGGGTGGTATAAAAAGCCCATTTTACAGTACAGTGTGATGCTCAAAGAATCTACTCAAGAAAGAAATGACACAAGCAGCTGTTAGAAATCTATGGCTGTTGTGAATCTCTTTTGTAAAACGATGTTTTGAAGCAACTACTGCCATCAAAAAATACAAACCTAGGAAATCTTCATAGGCAAAGTGCTGAAGGCACCAGCTTCCCCACTTTCATCACTACCACCTTCATGCCAGCATTTCAAATGACAGCAAAGTCCATGAGACATCAGTCCTGTCGGACTCAATCTGCGTCTGTGCAAGCGTATCAGAGCCTACTGCTACATGATTCTAACACTATCACAAATATGGAGATGCATCAAATGTACTTTTAAGGAAGAGGTGATTTTGATTTTGCTGCTTCTAGACTTCAGGAGCTACAAGGGAGCCCTGAACTATCTCTAAGGACAGCTTAGTTGTGGACAAAACTTTATCATTTTATTGGCATGCAAACATACTAGCTGACGTGTAAAGGTGAATAGCAGAAATGTGACGGGTACTATGATTTGTGTCTGAACCATAAACTGCTCTCTTTGACAGGGGATGAAGCGGAGAGGATAATTAATAAGGGGAGCATAGGAATAAAAAAAAAAAAAGTAACCATGAAGGTGCTTGTTTTACACTATTTTTTAACAGGGCACAGGAGATTATTTTCATGCATTCCAAACACTCCCACCAAAATATTAAATACTGTATTTAATGGAAAAAATATTGTTATCTGCTTGGGGGAAAAAAAGGGAATTTTAAAAATCACATGATCCTGGTATATGAATATGCATTTATCCTCTATAAGCTGTCTGCAAATGAAGGGATGGATCACAAAACCTGTAAAAGAAAAGGTTGAGAAGGAGCTTTTTTTTTTTTGTTATCTAAAAACCCCACTCAATTCTCACTCTAAACGCACACACAAGAATTTAGGAATACCGCACTCATTGTCTCTGACTTGAAGGTGATCCTCATTATCACTCAGACCATAAAACCCGAAGCCCTTAGTACTTCCTTTCTTTGCAGCTTCTGAGCATCCCAGCTTTAGCTAGCCTCATAAACACACTAAGGTTTCCAGGAGATCCTTTGCCTGCTGCTTTCTCTCTTCACCTGCTTATACCTCCATAGCTAAGTTCTAGTATTTCAGGTTAAGTAAACAGAAGCATTTGAATAAAGACAGTGGGTTGGTCCTTTCTTTCACGTGAGCTGAAGACATACTGTTAGTGGAGGCATGTAGATGATGAGCTGGTAACACTAGGGAGAAGCAAGCCAAGAGAAAATCGGGTGCTATTGACGATCTCTACACAAGTCCACCTCAGTTTTACCAACAAAAAAATATAGCTTCAGCCAGGGACGCCACTACTGACAATTGTACCAATCTTTTGACTGATAATTATCTGGGGTATGTAGGTCTATACTTGGCTTATGTGTGAAAACTAACATGACAACGCAATTCCTTACAAGAACTAAATGCAATTATCAAACAAGTATTAACTTCCATATCCAGCCACCTTCATGATTCCAAAGTAGAATGTTCATCTAATGGATCATTAATTCATAAATAAAGTAGTTTCTTCCCTTTTCTATTCGGTCCTGACAAACTTCTTGTTTTATCTAGAGCGTGGTATCAGAGACAGTGAAAACATGAACAGCATTTGCAGCACTAGTTCATACTGGCCTCTTCCTCAGAGGGCCAGCATTTGTCTTGCAGAATGAATCCAGAGTGAGTTACTCTCTTAGCAGACCCTGATACAATATTCACACTGCACCAGTGCAGAAACATGGGGCTTCTCCTTGATAGAAAACTGATCACAATGGCTACACAGATATCAACACTTATTCAATAAAACCTCTCTGTGTGAAGCATTAATGAAAGCTGGTTTTATTTTAGGGTAAGTACTACATTACTTCTGTATTAAATAATAAAAAATTACTCTTAAAACATCTCTAAAAGAGCTGCTTATGAATAATTTCTTCAACAACAGCTGTTTCGGTCTCTTTCCCCAGAAAAACAAATTGTTACTACAACAGTGAAAACCAATTTTCCCTCATTAGTGGTATCTATCAATAAGATCAGTAAAAGTGGAGATGTCTAGCTCCCCAGAGTGTTCAATGCAGAGACACAAAAGAATTCTCCTACGCTGGGACACGGCAGATGATTGCATGTGGGCATAGGCACATATACCAATTATCCTCAAAAGTATCAACTGGGTGAATAAAACATCTGAACACCGAACTACTTCCCTGCAGTCTGTTTGCTTTAAAACCAAAAATAATCTTCTAGATGATAACATAATACTCAGGAGGAGATGGTCTTTGCTCCAAGACAGTTAAGTCACAGAAAATGCTTACCTGGAGCCTGGAGGCAAATTTTAGAATTAAAAAAAAAACAAACAAACAAACAAACAAACAAACAAACAAACTTTATCTTGCTCTTCCATGCCTGCATGTGCATGTAAATGCTTGATAACGCAACACAGAAATTTAGCACAGCAGGGAAGAGCTCTTAGAAGACATGTGAACACAGACAAAAAAGAAGTCATAGCAGATGCATGGAGCCACATGGAAAAAAAACGGTAACTTATAAATTTTTATAATACAGGAATGTGAAGATATGAGAACTCATTTATGTTATTACACAAACTGGATTTCTACTTCAACTTTTCTAAAGATTGAAATTGTTCAGAGATAGGATTTTAGTTCATGGCCATTTCTGGTCTGCCACAAGGACTTATGGGAAAACAGCTTACATTTTTTTAAAAAATAGTGTTCCTCTAAGAACAAGTGGTAGGCAAAGATTGAAACAGAAGACTGCTGACATTCTGTTTCTACACTTCATTCATCACACCCACTATCCTAAATTGCATCCATTCCCTAGTCACAGATTTCTAATACCATATGCAAGTGAAGAGATTAAAAAAAAAATTGAAACATTACTAGAACCAAGTCAAGGAAAAAGTGCCAATACTTTACATTTTTGCATATAAACCAAGATCCCTCCTTAAAGAATAAACAGATTTCATAGAGAAATCTTGGCTGCTAAAATCTGACTGACAGTTGAATCATTACTAGAAAGAATGGAAAAAAAATGCACAAAATTAATGCTCATAATCTGTTTATTCAAAATCAGTTCAGATATACCTCTGGGTAAAACAATGTCTTCTATAGGGAATTAAAAGTATTTTCCAAAGCAATGAGGGAAACCATCAGAAGTTTTACATTTAGCTTGTTCTTTTATTGATTAAATATGATAAAAGTTTTCATAGTTAACCTGATGGAGGAGTTTCATGCTTCATTATAGTTTTAGTCTTAAAAAAGCCAAAATGCAAACACATAATTAAGGAAATTTAGAAGACAGATCTGTTGAGTGTTCCAAAGCTTAGTCTTCCCAGTCCCTGTATAACAATATACCTTAATGCTCCTCCATCATTCCTGAATTTCTCTATTACAGTTATTCCAACATGAGTGAGCACCCACTCTGGAAGAGGTGGTTTATGATCTCAGACAGGCGCCTGAACTATATCACTACAAAATCAACACTGAGTTGCAGTGATAGGTCAAATTTTTATTATATTAAACAACTTAATATATGCAATCTACTTCTACACTGAAATTCTATTTTGGACTTAATCAAGGATTTCTCTGTTACCATGCAAAATACAAAACAGACTGTTAATAACCAAAGAAATAAAAGAACAGGTAAATGAAATTAAGTTAGTGAATAAATTAATTCAGTGACAACAAAAGACATTACAAATCGTATCACAGAATTGTTTTTCTCATGTAGAAAGCTGTTAAAAACGTCACCTTTTTTTACTTAGAGAACTGGTGTTCGTATGTAATTTTAAACCGTACACAGAAAACACTGCCTAGTCTGATCTTTATACAGCTTCACTCACATTCTACATCATTAACTAAAACACCAATTTGTAAACTGTCATTTCTCAATGCTTACAAACTTCAGCCATCTTAGTCACTTCTGCAGAT